TATCATTAATAACACCTCAAACTATCATTAATGAACACAAACCTCTCTCAACTACCACATTTATGTGGATTTTTGGATATTAAATGCTTTAGCCAACAAATTCTTAATAAAACCATCAATGTAGGGTTTTAGTATCACAAACCACTCCCATTATATCCATTTTAATCAATAGGATCAGACCCATAATCCTATAGATTGAAAATGAACACTCTAACTCAAACCCTACCATAAATCATTATAAATGAGGGAAAGAAAGGAGGAAGAAGGCTTAGATTACCTACCTTGGGTGTTTGAGAGCTTCAAAACATCAATAATGGGAGCCAATATGTGTGCCCTAGCAGAGCTCCAACGTTCTCTTCATTTTCTTCCTCTCCTCTCTTTTGTTTTCTCACACAGACGCAAACTGATTTATCGAAAATTTTGTCCATGTAGCGCATGCTACCCTCCACAGCAGCGCATGGCACAAAGAGACTGGTTACATTTAAGTCTACCTTTGTGTGCTGTGTCAGACTGGCCACGCATCGCGGCATGTGGCACAAAAAACAAATCTTCACTTTTTCTTTCTCTTTCCTTGCCCGGGTGGCCCGCCATCAATCTGGACCTACTTCTAGGGCTGAAATCGCCACAGTAATTACACCAATTAGACCGCTCTTGCCATACATCTTATTAACTCACTAATCAAAAAATTGGGTTAATAAATTGAGATTAAATTTTTCTGGATCTTACAACTATGCTCTCTAATTGCAGTTTTTTTTGTTTAATGTTTGTCTGAGTCTTTTTCTTTAAAGAAATAATTGCTGATTTGTTGAAAGAACATGTAAGATGCTATTTTTATTTTGGTAAAGCAAACTGATGACTTTTATCTTCTTTTTTGTTTTTAAATTCGTTATTTTAAAAGAAAGTATTTCCACTTTGAAAGATCGCGCTTTTTTCAACCTGGTATTCCACGAAAGAAACTATGTCAATTTAGAGCCTATTTGATTTCTGTGCTCATGTTTTAAAAAACTGTTTTATAATATAATTTTTAAAATTATTTTTAAAACAAAATAAAAAAATTCATTTGGACAGTCAATTAAAAACAATTTTGAAATTAAAAATAGACTGATAGTGATGATTATAGAAAGTTAATGATAGTAATTAATAATAAAAATTGATCAAGATGATTATAATTTTCAATAATTAAATATAATATATTTTAAAAATAAGAAAAATAAAATAAAAATAACTTAAATTTTTTTCTATTTTCTTGTTTTTAGAAACAAAAAATAAAAATAATTTTGAAAAATGACTAAATGAAAAACACTTATTCAAATAAATTTTTAAAATTTTCCATTTTTAAAAATAAAAAACAAAAAACTAACAAGCTTTTAGTTTTTTAGTAGGTTAAGAGTCAAAAGTATTCTTAAAGTGCACATAAAGGGTCAAAAATAATTCTAAACTCAACTATGAGTCATTTATATCTTTCAACTTCAAAAAATCGTTGCTTTGTTACCTTGATGTTAACTTACCATTATGTAAGTCCCACATATGAACTTTTTTAATGTTTTTTATTATAAAATATTGCTTGTGGGCCCCACATTATTATTTTAATAGGTTAAGGGTGAATTTTTTCCTCAAAATATACATAAAAGGTCACATATGAATTTTATCCCTCAACCGCTAAAATTTTTAAATTTATCACCCTAAACTTAACTCAATTTATAGCCGAATAGCAACCTACAAGTAAGCATACATGTTGCACTTCGAGCATGGCTCAAAGTGATCATAGTGCTGATCCCCTCATCTACAAAACCCTTCTTGTATATTCGAATGTAGCATCATTGTTTTGCAAGATTTGGCTTTTTTTTGGTTTGAAGATTGAATAAGTGGTTAGCCCATGTTTGAATGATGGCATTCCAAGATCCTTCATTCCCTCTCTCTTCCTATCAATTGAAGAGTTTCTATGCAAGGACTTAGCTTGTCAGATGATACACGACCTTGATTCAAACATCTGAAGGAGAAAGGGGGAGAGGGGAGAGGGAAGGAAAAATAATATTTAAAAAATGATTAGTAGGACCCACTTAAATATTTTATAGTAAAAATATTAAAAAAAATTAAAATAAACTCCATTAATAGAGAAAATAATCAAAGAAAATGGTAGGGTGATAAATTTAAAAATTTTAGCGGTTGAGAGATAAAATTAATCCCAAATTAAATTTATGATCATCTATAACCTTTCATATATATTTTAAAGATAAAATTAACCCTTAACTCTCTTCCCTCCAATCAAAATGGTTCTCGTATGGTAAAAAGAGATTCCATAATGCTATTAACTAATTAACTAATGATATAAACTTGTTCCAGTGTTTTCCACTACCAATACGATATATTTCTTTTTAAATATCAGAGCTCTAAATTGCATTACATGAAGACAAAAATATTGTGTGGAGGGACTATGTCGATTGAAAATAATATATATATATATATATATATATATTTGAGACCTAAGGGCTTGTTTAATTTTTGTTTTTTTTTAATTTTTAAAAGTAGAAATGAAAATCAATTTGATAAGTGATTTAAATTTAAATGTTTTTAAAATTATTATAATTTTTTAGAAGCTGTTTTTATTTTATTTTTTTATATATTATTGTCATAGGTCACCACTATTAATTACCAGCTATCACCAATATTGGCTGATTTTTAACTCTAAAATTGTTTTCAAATTAACATAATCAAACATACTTTTTTAGAAAAAAATTTAAAAAAAGTGACTCATAAAATATTTTTCAAGAATAAAAAATGGAAACAAAATCAATCAAGCCCTAAATTGCCTAGTTTTATGATTTGAAGACCAAATTCAAAAGAAAGCTAAGTGCATGATACTTCAAAAATTGAATGGTGGTACCTTGTATTAAAAAATGATCAGTGACAATTAATTCACAGATCAATTGATTATTTTACTTTTACTTTTATGATTAATTTGGCTAATTTCAAATTCTTGAGTCTTGAAAATGATTGTTTCACAATTGATTGAATTTGATTAGTAAGACTTTATAGAATCTTCAAGTTCAAAGCATCTATCAATTTATAGGCAAAACATGCAACACTCTTGAATGCAACTTACTTCTTGCATAAGTAGCATTTTGATGCATTTGAATTTTGTGCACATCATGATATCTTTTCTAATTTAGTTGGAAAAATCATAAATTCATCTTTTCTTCTCTTTTTGGAAAAATTAATCTACATGTCATTTTAGTTATCCTTGATTTTGAATTAGATCCCTATAATTTATTTTATTATAATCAAGCTTTTATAATTTGATCAATTAAAAATATTAACCATAATCCATGAATTATATTCAATGTAAAGTCATTATATTGCATTTTTCTTGAAAGAGAGAGAGACGAAACACATAGAATTAACATGCACTTAAAAACTGTAGAGGCAGGAAAAAACCTCCATTATCTAGCAAAATCTTGATTATTTTAATTAAATATTTAAGATATAATCTTCAGTCAAACCGATTGAAATTAGTTTGTTTTTTCTTATCTAAAATAGGAAAAATTATGCCCAAATATCACAATAAAATTAAATATCATATGGTTCATTAATGACTTCACATAGCAAAATTTAGTTGTGATTTTGCTAGGCTAAGTTATCAATGAAATTTATTGTATTTAATTGTATTAGGAGGACTTATATATTATTCTCAATTTAATTAAAATATCATATCACATATAATTTGACTTAGTGAAAATGAAATAAATTATCTAACAACTAATAATGTCAGAAAAAATTTATTCTTTATAATTTACACAAGTCTTCGCTGGACTTTTTTAAATGATGTCCATTAATTTGTTGTACCTTTCAATACAGTGTCATTCTACTTTGCATATGGGACAATGTTTTGAGATGGACAAGATTTCCTCTCAACAACATTGAACTAAGAACTCGCAAAAACCACATTAGATTTGTTCCTTATTTTGAGATCTTTAGTGTTGTTAATCATAGTATAAAAATTCGAGTCAAGTCTCTCAATTGAACTAATAAACCATTAAACTAATGTCTTAATTAGTTTAATAAAATATTTTGTTATGACTAGTATGATAACGATATAACTATTGTTTTGATTATTAAATTGATTCTTAAACTAGTGCATTGATTAATTTAGTGACAATTTAGTTTTTAATACCTTATTATTATTGACTGAGGTTTTAATAAGCTTCTAAATTGTAAGTTGGCATCCTCTTTTGCAAAATATGATGAAGTGTGTGATGCAAGGGTGTAGTGTGTGTCTTACGAAAAGTTGTTGCCAAGGAAATGATAGATTGAGATGAGCCTGAATAAAGAAACTGATCATAATGTCACTGTGATTCACAAAAGCAAGACCCTTTAATTGATTTGTGGATATTGGCTGTTAGTAATTACGAGAGAAAGTCATTTAGTGGACATCCTTGTCCCCTAATTGCTTTGATGTTCCAAATTTTCTTTTGGACCACCAACTTTATTTTTTTTTAAATTTTCTTTGATTTAAAAGAAAATTTTACTTCTAAATTATAAATCTAAAAATTTATAAAACTCTAAAATCATTTTTAATAAAATATTTTTCTTTAATTTAAAAAGAAATAGTGCAATGACACTTCTATTATTAATAAAAATTAATTTTAAGTATTAAGTAACGAAAAAATTATAGAAAAAATCAAGAAAATTATAAAAAAACAAAAAAATTATAAATAAGGATTCAAAAAATTATAAAATATAACAAAAAAAATTTCTTGATCATTTTTTCCTTTTTTATATTTTTTTATTAATTAATAGTCAAAATTAACATTTATTAATAATTAAAATAATATTGCATTATTTAAAATATTAAAGAAAACATTAGGTCAAAAATAAATTTAAAGTCCCAAAAAACTTATAATTTTTGGGTTATTTTGCCATTTAATCCATTTTCTTTTTCTCATTTTCTCGTTATATACAAACATGCTTTCTTTCTCTTTTTCATCATCTTCTTCCTTTGAGGTCGTCTCTCATAATAGAAGTTCTAGAGAGCGAGCTCACAGATAGATTCTTTGAGAAATGGGTAATCACAGGTTCAGATTTTCTGATATGATACCAAATGCTTGGTTTTACAAGCTCAAAGACATGAGCAGATCAAGAAAGAAGAAGAACAAGGCAGGTTCAGTGGCAACATCTCAGAGATTGCAGCCAAGGTGTTCGAATTATTTCCCCAGTGAAATTAGTAGAACTGGTAAGTTATACAATTCACCCATTTTCAGTACAAGAGCTTCTGAGCTTGCTTTCATTGATTCACCAAGAAGGTCTTCCAAGAGAAGAGCTCGGAGAAGAACAGTTTATTACAAGCCTTCTTCTCCCACACTTGCTTCTTCCCCTGTGTCTGCAACTTCTATCGATCATTCCACAAATAAAAATAATTGGGCTCACCCCAGTCAAGCTAAGTCTCCTGATTACTATATCTCCTCCGTTGAGATTTCTTCTGAGTCAGACCTCAATGGTGATCTTGTTTCATCTGAATCTGAATGTGATGATGATAGTTTTGCTGCTTCTGCTCCTCCTCATCCTGGCATGTTCAACGGACTACCCTCAAATTGCAGCTGTAGAGTAAGTTCTTCAACAAATGACATCATCATCGACATGAACAATGAAGATTCTGAGAAGCTAGATCGGTTTAAAACAATTTCAGAGTTGGATCTTCCTCCAATATTAACAAAGCCGTTAAAGTTTGAAGATGATGATGATGATGAGAAGGTCATTAAGGCCACTGAATTGAGAAGTTCATCCAAGTCAGACAAGCCTAAAGGTCATCACCAGTCACAATCTGTCAACAATGGCAAGAAAGAGAGCATTAGAACTCAAAGAGATCGAAGATCAAGCCATAGTAATGCTCGAAAGTCTTCTGTTAATTCATCTACAGGAATCAGACTCAGAGTGAATTCTCCAAAGCTAGCAAGCAGAAAGACCGTTCAAGCTGCTTCTGCAAGAAGGGGTGTGTCAAGCAACAATAAAGCCTCTTCATGGAAAAATGCAGGATTTCCTGAGGGTTTTGCAGTTGTGAAGTCGTCATTTGATCCACAGAGAGACTTCAGAGATTCAATGTTGGAGATGATTATGGAGAACAACATCAGGGCATCAAAGGATTTAGAAGATTTACTTGCATGCTATCTTTCACTGAACTCCAGTGAATACCACGAGCTCATTGTCAAAGCATTTGAACAAACCTGGCTTGACATGGCTCAACTCAAATTGTAAAGATCTTTCTTAGCCTAAGATTCTTAGACATACATACATATGTATGTATGTATAAATTATCTTTCATTTTTCAGTGTATAGTCTTGTAACTAAAGTGCCTGCCGCTTCTCTATGGTTCAGCTTAATTAGATTTTGGACTCATTCTTCTTTAGATGAATGGCCTGATAAGCAAAAGATCAATAACGAGAGCCCTTTTCTTATTAAGATTGTCACTTTTGATATTGTTTGGGTTCTTTCATTTGTACCAAAGTTCAATTAAATGTCCTTTTTCTGAATCTTCAGGGGGGAAATTAAAACAGTGTCATGCCAAAAGCTAAGGGCTGGTACTATTCAGAATTGAAGATCAATTGTCTGAGTTCTAAGTTGGAACCAAGCATGACAGATACTACAGAAGACTATTAACACATCTTGCGCAGTATAAAACTGTAGAAGTTGCAGTGGAAACAGGTATCTCCATTACTATTTCTGAGTTTTTCATCTTTAATGTCAATTGGTGACTTAAAATGTTCCCAATTCAAGTTGCTGTGTAATCCAACCACCTAGGTTTGGTTCCATAAGATGGTTGGCAATGCTCGAATTAGATACAAAGTATGTGTTTGGTTAAGAATTTGGAAAACTGAAATTTTCTTAAACTACATATTGTAAAATTTAGTTTTGGTAAAAGTCACTTACTGTAGTATGATTCATGTGTGTCTATATATATATATGTATATGTATATCATAGTTTTGCAATCTGAAACTTAATCAAAAGCAGTTTTAAGTAGTTTTTGAAGTAAGTTAGGTTTGGAGAACAAAAGCCATTTGGATTTAAGCTTATCTAAACAATGGAAAAAATGTCTAACAATCTTTCGAGGTTCCTGACTAAAGCTTGAGCTCTCTTGACCAAACAAAACAAGCACAAAGTCTTTGGCATCCCAAACATATCTAAAATATATATTTCTTTTTTTTTGGTACGATCAAAACCTTTAGCATTCAAAAGTTTAATTTAAGGACTAAAGTATAATTTTTTTCCTAAACTCTATGTCTAGGACTAGGAGCGTTTGTGATTTTAAACTTATTTTTCGTAAGATATTTCTCTTTAACTTTTAAAAATGATACAATTTCACTTTAATCATTAGTAAAAGTTAACTTTAACTTTGATCAAAAAATGATATAAAAATATATTAATAATTACAGAAAAGAACTAAAAATATTACAGAAAAGTACCCCAAAATTATAGAAAAAGAAATTAAAATTACAAATTATTTATTATTTACAAATTAAAATAACTTCTTATCCTCCTTCTAGAAAATTAGGAAAGGATAACATTGTGACTTATAAAAAAGGAAAATCAAGTTCTTATAAAAAAAAATATTTATAAGGAAAATGATATTAAAATCTCTTTGAATTATTTAAATGATATTTTGATCTCTCAAAATACTATAATTTTTTTGAAATCTTTGGAGACTTTTTTGTTATTAAGGAATTAATATAAAATACCAAATTTTCCTTGATTGAAATAAAAATCCCAAGCCTCAGAATAGATACTTGCAAACTTGTAAATTGCTGATGATTTTTTGCAATTTTAGAAAGAAAAATTGTGAATATTAAGACAAAACTTGTAAATAACAATTGATATTAGCAACACTTGAAGAATATCATAATTTTAAACAAAACTTGTAAACATTTGAAGAATATCAGAATTCTAAATGTAAACTTGTAAATTGCTGTTAAATTCTTATGAATTTAAAAAGAAAATTTGTGAATTTTAGAGCAAAACTTATAAATAGATATCGATATTTGTAACATTTAAATAATATTAGAATTTTAAATGTGAACTTGTGAATTGCTGTTGAATTCTTGTAATTTTAAAAAGAAAAATTGTGAATCTTAAAATAAAATTTGTAAATCAAGGGTGTGAAGTATTTGTTCTGAGGCTTGAAATTTTTATTTCAATTAAGGATAATTTAATTTTTTTACATTAATTCCTTAATAATAAAAATTTTTTTGGGAACTTTAAAAAAATTATGTTATTTTGAGAGATTAAAATGTTATTTTTATAATTTAAAGAAATTTTATTGTCACTTCTCCATATTTATATATGGCTAGGAACAAAGGAAGTAAATTGTAAATACTAATTTAGAAAGTACAAATTTAGATTACTTGATCCGAAAATCACTGGAACCCATTAACATTCATATTAGCAACTAATTTTTTAAGCAAAAGATTTTAGGTAAAAAGTTAACATTGACATTTGAATCAGATCCTAAATTGCCTTTCTTTTCCAGGTCAAAAAAAAAAAAAACATTTGCCTTTCTTTCTATAGTTATTAGTGGAGACAGCTGTTAAAAAAAAAAAAAAAAAAGAACGTGGAGACTGAAGGAGATCAGTCCAAAGAATCAGGGCTGCTTCCCATTTCCCTATCCGTTCAAATATGAAATAGTAAGAAGCTGTAATTATTTGCTTAATTAATTTAAAATAAGCAAATGAGTAATGATTGGGTTTTATGGTTACGGTGAATACAATTATTTGAGAAAACGTAAGCAGACGGGGACACATTGAAAGGACTGGACAACGATGCAATGATGTTTGTTTTTGTGGTTTACAAAGAATGAGAAGGATAAACGACAATTTTTAAAAATACTCTTCCATCCTAAATTATAACATATTCTTATAAAAAATTTAACATTTTAAAATATAAAATATATTAATAAAAATAAATTTTATTAATGATATTATTTAATATTATTCTGTACATATATTTTTATTAATATTTTTTTATAAATAAACTATTAAATAAAAAGTATTTTTAAAAATTCATATTTTTATTTTTTAAAAAATAAGATTGTCAAGTATATTTAATAAAATTTATTAATATATGTAATTTTTTTAAAGTGTTTTATAAATTGAGAAGGAAAAGGCATCAGGCATTTTAATTGAATTAAACCTCCTAATAAGTTAATTAATTCATCTTTAAGCTAATATCACTTTTTTATATTTACTCTTAACCTATTTAATATGGTGACTCACTTGAAAGTAAAATGTTGAATGATTTATTTATTAAGAATATTTTTTAAAAAAAACTTAAAAATTACATATTAAAAATTTAAAAATATCTTATATTTTTTAACATTTAACTTTTAAAATTGAATATCTTATTTATAAAAGTCAAGCTTAAGATAAGCAATAAATTTAGGTAACGGAAGCCTTTAAAAGTCCTCAAGAGTCATGCCAACCCTTATTAACACTTGTTATGTTGTTCATATTCCTCAAATTAATGTCGCGTGTAACTAAATATCAGGTTTTCTTATACAGTTAAACTGTGTCAATTATTGGGATTCCTCGTTGTGCTCATAGGTAATTAGCTTCTCTAATCAAACTTTTAGGTTGTTAAAAAGCACTCCCTTGACACTAATTTACCGAACTAATTTGACGGTGATAGAAAATGTTAAGTTTATGGAAGTGGTGATAATACTTTGCCAAACACAAACTGTATTTTTTTTATAATTTATAATTGATTTATAACTTTTTTTTATTTTTACATCTGAACTTCTACATATAATTAATAATTTACAACCCAAATTATATTACTTACTTTTTTAATTTTATTTATAAGATAGAAAGAGAAAAAAAAATTGGTACTCTTTACATAGGACACTTGTCAACTCTCAAAGCTTCTCTTTATATTTTTGTTCTTATTAAATATTTTAAATAAAAATATTGATAATAAAATTTAATAATATTTATTAAGGGTAAAGGTTAATTTATTAAATTTTAAGATAAAATTAATAATATATAAAGTTTTTTTGATTTCAATAAAATATATTAACAATGATTTATAAATACAATCACAAAAGTATAATTAAACCATGCATGTGCCTACTGTGCAAGTACACTTTCGATTATTTGTTTACTGTGCATAAAATTTTATGTGACATTATACTTTTGCCAGAAATCTCTCTATTGTAAATTGTGTACCAATGGGACAGTGCAGCACCGGCAACCCTCAATAATAATAATAATAATAATAATAGTGTAAGACATAAGATTTTTTTTTTTTTTTAAAGGATAGTGGATGTGAGACTTACAGTAAACAAAATGTGGGCGCTCTGAGACTGGCATTGAAATTATAAATTTAATTCATATAAAATGTAAAAGAGTAGGTGTTTAAAATTTTATAATAATAGGGACTAAATCAATAACAAAGATAAACATAAAGAAAAAATTTGATAAAAATTAAACTTAAAATAACAAATTAATAATTAAGACAAACTTAAAATTAAATTAATTTTTTATTACCACAAATTATAAAGTAAAATGAGTTTTGTGATAGATTTTATGATATCATTTTAACATAGTTTTTGTTTATAAATTTTGTAAATTATAGATTTAACTTTTAAATAACTTATTATACACTATGTGTATGAGCAATAAAGTTTGGAATAAAATATATTTTTATAAAAAATGTAAGATATTTTTAACCAAATCTCACCCCTAATAAAGTAATTACCTACTTTCAAACTAACCTCATCTTTTTGTATTTATCCCTATCAAATACCTTATAATAAATATGAAGTCACTATTAATAGTGGCACTTTTGAAAAAAGGTAATGATTACATCTCAAAAGACTAAAAATGTCTTATATTTTTTAACATCCAACTTCTCAAAAAATGCTTTATATTTTTTATTAGAGAAAGTATCATTTAAAATTTTTAATATACACAGGCTAATGAATTATAAAATAGAATAAATTGTTACCTAGATTTTAATTTGTATGCGGTGAAATATTCTCAAATAGAATAAGATGTTATTTATATTTTTAATATATATAAGAATAAGAAATTCAAAAATAAAGCATTTTCCATTTATGTGCATGGGTAGTACATGATTGTTGGAATTACTGATTCACCCAGGCGGAAATCAGGTTATTGTGTCAAATTAATGAGCAAATATTTGACATATTTCAGTTTAATGAAATTTGATTGAAATTGATAATTGATTGTACTACTTAGAAAAAGGATATATGTGTATATGTGTGTGTGTGTGGATTATTTTTATTAATATATAATAGTTAACAACTGCTATAAATTTAGGTGCTATGTGGTCTCAAAGAAACTATATAGCCATCATTTAACTGTAATATAATTTGGCTTTATATAATGATTATTTACAAAAAAAACCATTATAAATTTGTTCCAGTTTCAAGCCCAATGAACATTTTAATCAACTATTTAATGATTTTCTTAAAATAAAAATTAAATAGTTGCCCTATATTCAATGGTTATCATATAAAAATCTCTGTATAGTTAGACCTAATTCTAATCATTTTTCACAAGTTGCTCAGTGAACTATGTAGTAGTTATTTTGTAATAATCACTATCTATTTCTGTTTATATGGGGGGGTTATTTGTTATAGCCATTATATATATTGAACTATATAGTAGTTATTTCAAAATAACCGCTATAT